AACTCCTTTGCTCTCATTCCGGACAATAGAGTTTGCTCTAACGTACTCTTCCTCAGGTGTTTACCCCTTTCTTTTAATATCAGAGACTCGATGATTTCAGCCCGAAAACAATCCTCCTTGTCCACCTTATGCTTCATTGCTTCATATATGGAGAAAGTGACTTTATCATCAGCTACTCTTAACATTAATTTACCTTGTTGTACATCTATTAATGTTCTTCTTGTGGCTAAAAATGGTCTTCCCAATATAATTGGGACTTTAGTATCCTCTTCCATGTCAAGGACCACGAAATCAGCTGGAAAGATAAATTTATCAACCTTCACTAAGACGTCCTTCACCACTCCATAAGGATAAGTCATTGATCGGTCCGCCAATTGGAGAGTTATCATAGCAGGCTTCACTTCTCTGATACCCAACCTTTTAAAAATGGACAAGGGCATCAAATTGATGTTCGCCCCAAGATCACATAATGCCTTGCTTACCATTAAATTTCCAATCTCACATGGAATGACAAAACTTCCTGGATCCTTCAATTTGGGAGGTAATTTTTGTTGAATGATTGCACTACACTCCTCTGTAAGCATTATGGTTTCATCCTCCTGTAGCTTCCTTTTTCTTGACAACAAGTCCTTCATGAATTTAGCATAGCTTGGCATTTGCTCCAATGCTTCAGCAAATGGGATATTAATGTGGAGCTTCTTAAAGACATCAAGAAATCTTGCAAATTGCGTCTCTTGTTCTTTGTTCTTCAACCTTTGAGCGAATGGAATAATGGGAACATATTCTCTCATTTTACCCTTTTCACTCTCTTGACTTTTCTCTCCCTCATTCTCCTCTTCACAATTTTTCTGCTCTTTTTTTTCACTCTCTATCACAATCTCCTCTCTTTGTTTTTTTCTCTCACTCCTTTTCTCATTCTCTACCAATCTCCCACTCCTCAATTGAATTGCCTTACATTGTTTCTTTGAGTTGGTAATGGTGTCACTAGGAAATGTTCCAGGAGATCTCTCTGAGATTTGTCGTGAAAGTTGACCAATTTGGTTCTCCAAATTTCTGATTGAAGCTTCTTGATTCTTGAAATTTGTCTTTGTCTCGTTCATGAAATTAGAAGTTTGTTCCACAAATGTTGAGGTTTGCTCAGTTAACTCTCTAAAGCTCTCTCAAAAGTAAACATCTTAGTTCCTTGGTTGTTAGATTGTGGTTGATATTGATATGGAAGCTTTGGCTGATTGGATTGATTCGATCCACTCCAAGGTTGGTTTGATGGGCTTCTCCAATTTGTATTGAAATGGTTAGCAAACTGATTCTGATGTTGGCCCACTGCATTCACTTGCACCTCTTATTGAGTGACTTGACATTCACCATTTTGATGCATTCCTCCACAAAAATCACATGCTAAAGGTGTTGTCTTCACTGCTTTCACTTGCACATTATCAATCTTCTTAATCAACTCGGTCATTTGTTGTGTTAACAACTTGTTTTGGGCTAGGATAGCATCCAAAGTGTTAACTTCTAACATTCCACCTTTTCTATTCTCGACGATCAAACCGCATATTCCCCGTATTATTTGCCATTAACTCAATAGTTTCCAGTGGCTTCGGCGATGTCTTCAGATTGAATGCTCCTCCACTTGTTGCATCCAACATTGCTCTAAAAGAGGGTACAAGACCATTATAAAATATCTGGACTTGTAACCAATCTGGTAAAGCATGATGTGGACATTTCCTCAATAGCTCCTTGTACCTCTCTCAAGCCTCGTACATAGATTCAGTCTCTTGCTGCACAAAAGTAGTGATTTCATTTCTCATTCTTGCTGACTTGGATGGAGGGAAGTATTTGGTTACAAATTTTGTAGTCATATCTTCCCATGTAGTGATGCTTCCTTGAGGTTATGTTTGAAGCCAGCTTTTAGCTTTATCCCTTAATGAGAAAGGAAAAAGCCTCAAGCGGATTGCCTCACTTGAAACTCCATTAAGCTTCAAAGTATCACAAATGGCTAGAAAATTCTCTATATGAGAATTAGGATTCTCTACAACTGCACCTCCAAATTGATTCTGTTGGATGACTTGTAGCAATGCAGGCTTGATTTCAAAATTGTTGACTTGAATAGGAGGTCTCACAATGCTCCCTTGGTAATTATTCACGTCCGGCATAATAATCAAGAAGAGTTTTTTTTCTTTGGTTGTTCCTGTGTCATTGTTGATATGTGCTCTTCCTTTTTACTTGATGTCTCTGCTTTTCCTTTTTGCTTCTTCTTTCTTGCCTCACTTCTATTATGTCTAGCAGTACGTTCAATTTTTGGGTCAAAAAGCAAACTTTTTTCTGTCACTGTACCTCGCATAAACAACTTAAAAAGAATGCAATATTCTAACAACAAAATTAACGTGACAACATAAAAACAAACAAGATAATGAAAACAGAAAAACAAAATAACTAAAATAAAAATAGTTTTGACTACCTAAAAACTAACACTCAAATCTTAAGCGAATTAGATCACTAATATCAACAGAAAAATCAATCCCCGGCAACAGCGGCAAAAACTTGATGAACGTTTGGCAAGTGCACCAATCGTTAACGTAGTAATAAAATATCGTCATCTGGGATTGAATTTGTTGAATACTAGATTCCTAATGTACGTAAGTTTGAGTAATTGAAAATTTGGATAAAATAGCAAACATAGAATTATAATAAAAACTTTAGTCAAAAGAAGATTTGTTAGAGAATTGATTTCATACCCTTCCCTATATAATTCCAGTCCTTTCAATTGATGCAAGAAATGTAATTATCCACTTGAGTTTACCCAGAGTTGTTTTATCCCTAATCCCTTAATAGGCAAAACTATTCATTAAATCTGAACCCCCAATCCCTTAGGTCAGTTACGCCATTCAATAGAATCATTAAAAAACAATAATCTTCTCTATTGCAAACTAATTAGATATATGCCCAATTTCCCAATTGTGACAAACCCTAACCTGTTATATTTAGGATCGCGTACAACCTCCAATCTCCCAATTGTGAAACTGCTCGTGGAATGAACTTGAAAATTATAAATAGAACACTGAGATAAAGAACATTAACTAAACATCAATTGTCAAGAACAAGAAAATATAATTCAGAGTACTACATCAATCCTCTAACAACAGGGAAATCAGTTCTGCATAATGTAAAAATTGCTAAAAGATAATAGGTAGAACGTAAAAAATTCCAAAATGGTTCTTCCCCTCCCCTTTTCAGTTTTGTTCCACCTTCTTTATAGGGTGTCCCACGTTTTTTCTCCACTTGTTGAGGTAGTTACCACTTCTCATAACTGTCTTGAATTTCCACAGGTTGTGGAAAAATTCACAACCCACCTATGGAACTCTCTGACTTCAACTGTGCCTTCTGAACCACAAATCCACAGGTTGTGGAATCATCCACAACTCACCTGTGGAGCTCTCTGACTTCGTGCAATCTTTTGGAGTCTAATTCACAGGCTGTGGAAAAATCCACAATCAACCTGTGGAGCTTTCTCATATTGATCTTTGCATTCTGGTATCAAATCCATAGGTTGTGGAACATTTCACAAAGTACCTGTGGAACTTGCTGATCTAAAATCTTTCTATCTTGACACCAACTCCCTCCAAACTATGAATTTAAACCTCCAAACACCTATTTACAAGAACAATGCACAAACCAACATGTATGATCCAAAACCACGATAATGCATGATGAAATCGTTCCCATAATGCAAGAACATATGAAATTAACCTAAATTAATGCATGAATGTAATGATATTTTATCTACTCATCAAATAATAGCCACAATTTTACCTTCTTTCTTGATCCTTATATCTCCAATGTCAGCTGCCTCAATTGTATTATCACCTGCTAGTCTCACTTTGCTCTTCTTGCTAGTGTCAAGACTCGTCATCCAACTCTTGTGTCCAGTCATATGATTGCTGCAACTAGTATCAAGAAACCAGCTTTCTGACCCAAACTCCTCATTATGGGTAGTCACCGTCAACAATATTGGTTCCTCCTCAGATTCTCCCTAAGCTACATGTGTTTCCTACTTAGTTTCTTTCTTTTATTTTCCCTTTTCATGTCAGCAATCTGCAGCAAAGTGTCTTCATTTCTCACAATTATAACATTGAATCTTCTTCAGATCTTGCACTTTGTTGCTACCTCTTCCTCTGCCATTAAAGCGTCCTCTAATTTTCTGTGCAGTTTCTGATTTTTCTTCATTATTATACTGATCTTGACTGGCTGAGCGTCTTTCTTTGGCAAATCTGCTAAATTTATTTTTCTTCCATCTGCCACGAGACAGAAATAACCCTTGCTTGATACTTGGGCCTGCAACGCCTGATCCTCGCTGGCTTTCTCCAGACTCTTCGCAGCCAGTTTCAACTCATGAGCTTCAAGCGATCCTTGAAGTTCGTCAACTGTGATTTTATCAATATCTTTGGCCTCTTCTATTGTTACCACTAGATTGTCAAATTTCGTAGACAATGTTCGTAGAATCTTTGCGACCATATTCTTATCCATAACATTCTCACCACACGCCCTCATCGCATTCACCACCAATTGCAACCTGTTGTAGTATCAGTCACCGCTTCTTGGTATGTCATTGACAACAACTCATATTGTCTTCCAAGAGACTGAAACTTGACTTTCTTAGCCTTTTTCGCACCTCCATAAGTTTTTCGCATAATGTCTCAGGCCTCTTTTGCTGTATTGGCTTTAGAAATTTTCTCAAAATTGACCAAGTCTACACATTGGTGAAGAAGACAATGAACTTTACAATCTTTCTTTGTCGTTGTGTCGTCCTTCTCACGAACATCATCTCTTACCAACTCTAAAATTTCTTGGTTACCAAGAATGACCTCCACCCGTATCACCTAATAATCATAGTTCTTGTCATCAAGAATGGGTAAGTTGACCATAAAATTTCCTCCTCTGCTTGCCATGACAGCCCTTCTCTTCTCAACATAGGTCCGCTTGCCATGACAACCCTTCTCTTCTCAACACAGGTCTGCTTGCCATGACAACTCTTCTCTTCTCAACACAGGTCCGCTTGCCATGACAACCCTTCTCTTCTCAACACAGGTCCTGAACCTTACTGCTCTTGATACCACTGTTAGCTTAGACCACTTAACACACACGTAACCTATATGATGAATGTTTCAAAGGAATTAAATTATCACCACCTATTTTGTACAGAAGGGCTCTATTTATAGAGTCTTATAAATGAAACTGAAAGTAACCAACTATAACAGAATAATATTTTTGAATTAGCTATAACACCTTTTTTCATTATTTTTAAAAATTCTTTTTCGGTTAAATCTTTCTTTTTGGATTTTCTTTTTCCAGTTAATTCCATATCAACAATATGTTTGTCACGTGAGAGGTGTATACTAGAGGGTTGGTCAAAACGGGGTGTGTGAGAAACATTTTTCCATTGATGATCATATTACTTACTTTGCTTTCTCTCTAGTTTCCTCGATATGCAGTACCTAGCGAATTTTATGTATTGTACTACGAAACAACATTGAGGCATTTGGTGTAAAATGATACTTGTATTATATATCTCAGCTTTAAATATATGTCCATGCTATCAACCCAAGGTCCAGTTTGTAAAGAATATAAATACAAAATCAAATTCTTAAGTTTGATTTTGCTTTAGAAAAGAAGGGGGAAAGTAAATGGACCAGAACGTTTTTATTCCATTCATTTTGAACAGAAAGAGAAAAAAATGGTTTTATTTGGTTAAAATATCAAACCATTCTTATTGCACAGCTAAATAAGAGGATTTTTTTTACCTTTCTATCATCTAAAAAAAAAAAAAGTTTACCAGTAACATTAAGTTTTACAACTCTTCAAAGACAACCCCTCCCCCAAAAAAAATTGATTGGTAGGGATTAAATTATTGTTAAAAGTTGCTGAATATAAGTGTAGATAGAGATGGTCCAATTCTATTTAATCTACTGGCTATTCTATTTTTCGTTTTCTCCTGAAATGACGTAGATATAAAAATTGAATAGTTAGAAGGCAACTTTTTTTAGTACTAGTTTTGCAAAATACTAAAGAGGAAGCAGCGGTAGTGATAGAAACGTAAGAATTGAACAATCTTTGTGAGATCTTCTGCGTTCCAAGATGCTTCAAAGTGAAAGTTTTTGTTAAGTAAGATAAACCAGTACCATCTCACCAAACAGATTCGCCTTTTGATGATGCAAGCAATGAACCTAATAATATATATATAAAAGCCATAGTTTTAAATGAATGGGAGAAGAGAACACCGACACCCGGTTATTCAAAACCTCAGATATTAGAAAGTGCAACCATCCGAACAAACGGCAGGACAAAACATACCTGCTCTGCCAGCTAATTGGATATTATTATATGCGACAAGAAGATTTGAAAGGGGAAAAAGAAAGTAAAAATCAAGATGTAAGATGCTAGATGAGGAAAATTTGTACGGAAATTTTGATGCAATCTGTGGTGGAATTAACCTGCAAGGTGGGGCAAGGGGCTATAATTTGCCCGATACAGATGTAACTTGGAACTTGATACGGTAGCATTCAGCGGCTCAGCCGCTTCACAACAACGTACCCCAGCCCGGGCCCTACACCATTCCCGTTCCATGTTTGCACATCAGTACCCGCCTAAACATGTCCCAATCCCACCACCATGTTGTACACAGCTTTTTTACAGCCAAACATTTCTCTCGATCTGGCTTAAGATCTTCTTCCCCACTTAGATAGCGCCACGATCCAAACGGTCTTAACTGAGTTTATCAGAATCCTGCTTTACTCTTTCCAGACTTGATTAAAAATAGGTTTTGCCATAACTCTTCTGTCTTTTCTTACAATTTTCAGCTAAGTGCTTAGAAATCACTTGCAAGTCCACAAACCTAGTCCTTAAAGAGTTCTCGATGCCATAAAATTTGTTGGGTTACCTAGCTTTGTGTCCACTACTGAAGAACATATTCCATGTTTTATTTCTCAATTTTCAAGGCAAGCATATTCCAATACTTCATTGCACAGAAGCATGAAATAAGGAATCAAATCAAGCACTGGGTATGAAAAATATGTATACGTTTCAGAGTAACAGTTGAATGGTCAAAAACACCACGCTCCACTGGACTGATCTAGACTATGCAATGTACTGCAGTATCTAATAAACGAAACGCGTGCTATGTGTTGACCTACAAAAGATTATGGACGCAAACAACCCTGGTATTTCAGTAGAAGCTCCGTACTTTCATTACGAGCGCGCAAATTAATTACCATACAATAATACAATCAGAAACCCTTTTCACAAAACTAGGGTCATCAAAAACAAAAGAAACCTAACCAACCCAAAAAAACAACCATGTACCTCCATGAAACACGAGCAAATCAAAACAAGGGAAGGCAAACTCCCAAACCTAGCTATATCCATACATCTCTAAAGGGTCAGTCTATAGCCGCTAGCTTCTTCTAACTTCGATAAACACATCCCCAATTCCAACTATCATGGTCACACTGTACAAGTCATCAAAAACACTATATATACAATAATCAATTACATTGTATAATTACCACCTTCTCAAGTAGTAATGTAATCATTTAGCTAAGAACTCGAAGTAGAGGCCTCTTGTCTTGATTCCCTCAAATATCGAAGAAGCGTTTCGGCCTGGAAAAAAGCAAGCCAGAAGTTTAATATCCAGGTCATTCTTTAACATACCACAAATCCCCAAATACAACTAAAAAATACTTACATCAAATGCATACTAATGCTTAAAAAAGACTCAGTCAATTTGATTTAAGTGAGCATTTGCAAAAATGATTTTGGTTAGAATTAATTATGAAGTAAAACTATTTGTTTGGATTTTTTATTCTAAAAGTATGTTAGTAATAAATTTCAGTTACTTTTTTGCGTGATTCAGAACTACTAATATTGCAGCAACTCAGAATTAAATATAAATCCAAAATCAATTAAACATGTGAACTTTCACTTATAATCACGTTAATTATCTTATCACTTTATTGGTAATTTTTTATGACTCAATGATGGAATTGAAATTTGTTAGTATGATATGACTGAACAGAAGTTGTTGGTATGAGCAAATAGGGGTTTGATTTGACTGACCTTGTGCTTAGCCCGAACACTCCCAGTTTGAGAAAGGGCAACGAGAGGAGGAATCCCACCCTCTCTAACAAGAAACCCTCTGTTTCTGACACTGTCAACACAGAGCTGAAGAAGGGTCAGGACTGCGAACTCCTTCCCCTTCACAGACCCATCCTCAATGGCCTCCACAAGAGCAGCGATCCCACCTTCTTCCACAATCGCGTCCTTCCCTTCCTGAATCCCCGCCAAGCTGTTGAGCACAACCATGGCCTTCTCCGCCATGCCGCTCCCCTGCTCAGCCACCAGCTCCACCAGCGGCTTCACCGCACCCGCGCTCACTGCCCTCTCCTTGTTCTGCCTGACAGAACACAACTTATACAGCGTTGTCAGCGCGTCCTTCTTCCCTCTGCTCGAACCATTCAGAAGAAGCGAAACCAAAGGCGGTATCGCTCCGGAAGCCCCGATCGAGCTCTTGTTCTCTTCCACCAGGGCAAGGCTTAGAAGCGCGCATGCCGCGTTCTGCTTCGAAGTTTCCGTTCCCGTCTTCAGCACATAAATCAGCGACTTCACTGCTCCGGCATTGGTTATCAGCATTTTATTGTCCTCGTGGAGAGAGAGGTTTAATAGCGCGGTGACTGCGTGTTCCTGCGTCCATGGATCGCTGCACCGGAGAAGTGGAACGAGGACCGGCACCGCGCCGGACTCGGCGATCAGGACGCGGTTGTCGGCGCGGTTCTTCGCTAGCAGTCGGAGTTTCGCCGCGGCGGAGCGCTTCACTGCCAGCGACTGCGACTGGAGACCGTCTATGCAAATCTTCACGGTCGGCTGGAGATCCTCCGGCGAAATGCTCTCGATAATTTCCGTAGAGAAGCTCTCCCGCTGCAGGAACCCCATGCAGGGCTCCAGCTCCGGCTCCACCTCGCCGGAAGTATCGCTCTTCTGCGCGCATTCGGGCGACGGGAGAGTCGCGAGGCGCTGTAGCTCGCCGGAGATGTCACTGCTGCAGGCAGAGAAGTCGCTGAAGGCCTGGGAGAGGTCGAGGAGGTCCTCCTCCGCGGGAGAGGATTGGACAGATTTATTATTCCGCGACGCGAGTTCGCCGAGGTGGAGGTCGACGACGGAGTCGGTGAGGTTCTCCGACAGACATGTAGATTTCTCAGTAAAGGAGCAGCTGCTGCTGTCATCTTGGAAAAAACTGGAGCGTATCGTTCGCATGGACCTTCCGATGTGACGCTGCGCTTTGGACGAAACCGAGGAGTGGTACTGGTAACTCCTGGCCAAGGGGAAACGGCTGGAATTCGACCGTGATTCCTCCAGCGAAACCATTCTCGAAGCTTCCACGCACACAAATTGGGGATTAGGGTTCTGTGTAGTGTGGTATTAACGTTTCTGAGTTTAGAGTTTCATAGTGAAAAAAATGAAGTGAGTGAAGGCTGCGCCAGGTTGAAGACAACGAATAATAAGGGGAAGGAGAATAACTGTTTGATTTTTCTATTTTCGTTTTTTTTATTTGGCTTTGAAAGGAAGAGGAGGCTTTGGTATCCGGGACACACTATTGTAACAGGGCGTTGAGCTTTGTAGTATAACGGTGGGTGGCGATAAGGTGGGACCCTATTAATCGACGGTGAGAAATGTGTGGGAAGGTGAAAGAATTGAGGAATGGGATTGGGATAGTATGATGTGGGGTCGAGGGGCGTCGGGCAGAACCGTCGTCGTTTTGTAGTAGCTTTTTTTAACTTGAGTTAGTGTCTGGGTGAAATTACTGGAAAGCCCTGAGTGGGTTTACCTTGGGTATGGTTTTGGTGAGATGGGAAGATTCTGGTGGAGGGAGGTGTACGAAAAGAGTCGAAGACAGTTGTCAAGTGTAAGGAGCGAGTGGCACGTGTTGGCGTGATGAGGACAGGGGTTTCGCAGCTTACCTTAAAACTTATTATATCTGCGCCGTATGATCCAGTGATCTGTATTATCTGAGTTATTTATTGCAAGTCAAAGTGTTTTTATGGGACGTAACCAAAATATGCTGTATGGGACTCTGCCTTTACCTCATTCAGCCAAGACATTCCACACACACACAGGTGTGAATTCGCAGTATTGCATCCCATTTTCATCCCTATCTTTTTTTAATCATTTTGTAATTTTTTATCTTTTTTATTTATGAATATATCATCGTCTTCGTTTTTCCATTTTAATTATTTTCAGAACAGTAATAGAAGTGACTTAAATCTTGAATCGCAAGACCAGTAAGTTCTTGGTGAGAGAAAGAAGTATTGAGTTTCGTCGTACTACTTTTAGTCTTTATTATAAACCATATATGTGTTAAAAAAACTATCTTTTGTGTAAGATATTTTAAATTTTTAATAAATCTATATATTTTATATAATCCTGTAGATGTCATTATTAATTGATTTTTAATGATAATTAATAAAAATGAATTTTATTTAAAAAATAAAATGAATTAATTTTTTTTCTATGTATTTTTATTCAAACTCCCTGGTAATAGAGATAAGAAGCAGTATAAAAGATAATTTTATATTTAAATTTAATACATAAAAATACGTACTCAGAATAATTAATTAATACTAAAATAGCAATTACATTTTTCAACGAAAATTAGTTATCAATAAAAAAAATGTCTTATATTAATATCGTGATAAAAAATTCAAAATTATAACATTCGACCTTTTTTTATTAATTATATATATCATATTTTTACATATTTTATTAATTTTTAAATATATAAATTATTATAAATATTTTATTTAAATAATAACATTTTTATTTTTCTCTTTCCTATAAAAAAGCGATTACAAAAATAATCTTCCTTACATATAATTGTAAATGTTATTTATTAACCCATTAGTTAATCGATTATCTATATTTATTTTGACATTTTGTATCTTTTAAGTAATTTTGCAAAGTATCATACTATAATCAGTTTTAACTTTTTACATTAATTATTTTCATTTAAATGTAGATATATAAAATAATAGCACATAAGTCATAATACAAAGTGTTAAATTATTTTGTGTAAAATAGTTAATAAAATTATACATTTTAAATTATCATGATATTAGGATAAAGTTTATGCCACCTTTGTTAACAATTAATATTTTACAAAAATTGAATGGGGAACTTGATTGAAGACATCCAAAACCAGTGAGCTTGAATACTAATTTATTTTAGGCTAAAATAAAGCTCTAAAGAAACGTGTGGATAAAAAAATTCATTTGGAAATCCCTGTGTCTATGGGTGCTGGCCTAATGGGATGTCAAATAAATGCATCATGCTTGTCCAAGGCGCTTCTAGATACTATGTTATGAATATTATTATTATTATTAGAAATAATACATGAAATTGTTTGATTTATAACATTTTAACGTCGTTCGAAAAAAAGTAATATTAAACAAATAATTAATGAAAAAATTAAGGAGGGTAAAACGGTTTTTATTAAAGTTAAAACAAGTATTTTAGTATCACTAATTAAACGTTTTGCATTTTGCATTTTGCAAACAACTCATGCGTCAAGTCATCTTCGTGAAAAACATGTTTTTCTAGAATGAAGTTAGGTAGACCTAAGTGATTAGTCTTAACCACAGTCCCAAGTCAAGTTGAAAACTGCACCAATATGCCAGACTTTTGTATAAATTTGAAGATTTATACTATTGATTATAAATTTATCTCAAAATTCCACAAAAAGCAAATTTAACAAAAATCATTAAGAAAAAATATCACTTAATAACTTGAATTGATAATAAATATTTGACTATGATACAGATATTGAAAATAATAAAAATATTTTATTGTTATGTAAGGATGTAGCAGTGTGAGGTGTGTCCATAACCCAAGTTGTATTTGAATATAAATATAGATAGAGAATATTTGTTTCTTTCATACTTTGCATGGTTTTGTTTTTCTGTAAAATTTCTTTATCTTTATATAAGGATTAAGACAATTGTATTACGTTGAAAATAATTATTTATTTGAGAATGACTGAAAATAACTAATGAATAACGCAAGTTGATTTGTTGCGAATAATGAACAACTTGTCGAAAATGAAATAATAATTCCAGCGTCAGTGTTAAAGTTGAATGTGTAAGCTGCACCAACATTTTGCCGACTATCACGAACAATATGCAATTTTTTTAGTTTGCATTATTAATTAATATACACGATTCTTCTTAGTTGATAATGTTTTTTTTATAATTTGCATTATTTTTGTAATTAATGTTAGATTGACTTATTTAAAGTGAATAAAAATATAATGTGAATAATTATTTTATGTTTATTTTTGTGGCAAGGAAGTTTCTTAAACTCTAATTAAAAGATTAAAAACGTAGAAATGAGTCGTAATGATGATGAGTGACATTTGGTAAAACTGCACCTACAATTTATGGTGAGATAAGCAGTAATTAAAAAAAATTTAGTTAGTTGAACTACAGAATGTCGTGGACGATAACGCGTATTTGACCAAAAATATCATAAAGGAACAGACCGATACACTACATGAATAGGTGCAAAGTGTGGTTAGGGAATTGGGAAGTTAAACACGCAAAGAAGTGAGATCACCAAGAGTGGGGGTTACGGGAATATCATTAAGACACCAACGATTGTGAGTTATTATTGTATTCACATTGATATAAAGTTACTTTTTGAGCTTTTATCTCTTCTCTTTATGAGACTAATCATGCCTCTGCACACTTACTTTTTGTTACTACTTATTGCTATTTGTGGTCACACTTACTTGTGCCAAACAAAGAAAAGGAATACGAATACAACTTGTATTGGTCTTAATCACTATTTCAACTATATTTTGCACTCTACATATCTCGATTTTCCTTTAGACACGAACAATTATGAAATACTACTACTTCCAGTTTGAATTTAATTTATTTTTCTGTAACCCTGTAGGTTTAGAATGACAAAAAAATTTCAATATTTTAAAAATCTGTGTATAAAATGTTGTCACACTAATTTGAATTTTCCAACCCATGTTTTTATATGGCACAATATTGTAGATTTGTCCCTTTCTCAATTTAAAGTTGAGTGCAACACTACTCAACTTCTACATCATCTTTATACTCCCTAACAAGTGTATATTATCTAACCTATACTCCATCAACATCCAAACCCTACCACCCAACACAAAATTTGGCTCCAATCACAACTTTCACTGTAATCCTCTGCGGTTCAATCAAGTTATGTTTGAACTTTTGTTTTTCACTTACATCTATTTTTAAGTTAACATTCAAAGTACAACGTTTAATAAAATATTACACAAGAAAACAAAACATGGAGAGTTGAAAGAGCAAGAAGAAGGGAGAAGACGAGAGAGTGAAAATTTTATTTTCCCCTCAAATTTCTTAAATTTTAAATTTTTATACTCTAATTCCCTTTTTTACAAAGTTATTTTATCTTTTTTAATATAAATTATCTCTGATCTTATTTTTATCTCTTAAAGTTTTGAAAGAAAGACATGTTTAAAAAATTGAACTAAACATTACCTAAATTTTGTATCTAATTCTTTTTTTTTTCCTATTTTTAGAAAAAGATGCATGAAATTATGAGAATGGTTAATAAATATGGAAATAGCCAAAGTAATCCAACAGACATTTAAGACTTAGCCTATATGACCAAGCCAAATTCATATATTTTTAAAGAAATAAACCAGTAAAGATTTCTATAAAAAATATTTAGTTAAAAGATAGAACTTTAAAATATTAAAAATCTTTAGATGGTTGTTTATTTGAAGAATCATAAATATTATTTTAGTATAACTATTTTTTTTAGTAAAATTATATTTAAATATTAAACACGTTAACTTATATAGAGAGCCAATTCTATGTGTTTATTAAAAACTAATTTTATGATATATTTGGACATCTTTAATCAAATTGAATTAGTAAAGTTTACTTAAATTATTGCGATGATAAGAAAAGTGGATTTACATCTTATACTTATTTAAATAAGTTTAAATTAAAATAAAAAGTATACATAAAAAGTGTGGTATTAATGATGATTAGGATAAATGTGGCACTTGAAATGAGAAATAATGTGTTGACCTCACATTATTACATGCTTGTGGAAAAATGAATGACCCTACAAATGTTATGTTAGTGAGAACCTCTTGTTTACAACCCACGTGGGGGCAGTATATCCAAAAGCTAGAGTTTCATTTTTTCATGAATCCTTCCCAACCATTCAAAACCTTACTAGGTGCTGCTACCATCATGCCTACAATTCATGGATTCAATTCCCACTTTTTATTTTTTATTTTTTAACCATTTCTTCATCAAATCAGATATTTATCCAAGACTTGATAATAAAGAGAAAAATATAAATAATATGATAAGGAGAGAGGAAAAAGTGCCAAGTGTTTCTAAAAATCAAAACTGATTTAATTTATGGTAATAAAGGGTATGTTTATAGATGTTTTTATATACGATTTTCTTTAAAAAAAATTAAAATAATAAGATTGTTTTTTTATAAATTAAAATTAATTTTTTTTTTATGATTTTTTATAATTTGAGTATGAAAAATCAATTGAGTATAAAAAATGGTCTGAGATGTACCAATTTGTTTCTAGATAATATTATCTTATAAGAATTCTTTGTAACTTTTGAATTTTTTCAGACTAATACTTGATAATTTTTCAATTTAGTCAAAGTTTCATTTTGTTTTAAAATGTAAGAATGTTTTATTCAATAATAAAGTCAATTTTTATAATAAATTTTTCGGATATTAACTTAATGCAACTATTTATAAAATTATCTTGATAATAAATCTAAATTTTAAGTATTAATTCTGACGTTACGTAATAATTTAATGGTATTAAAATAATTGAAAATAAAAGATGAAAATTAAATCAATAATTTTTTAAAATGAAAAAATATAAATTATTTAAAAAATAGATTGTAGAAAATATAAACTGTTAAAATATAAATTATAGAGAATGTAAATTGTAAAAAACGTATAAAAAGAAATTTGTATAAAAATAGAGGTTTTTAAGAATACAAGTTTTTAATATAATTTGTCATATTTATTTTCTATTTTTTTAAAATATTCACTATCCTTTATTAATGCTAAAATAAAGATAATAATAATAAAAATTTCTTTTCTGTTTATTATGAATATGATGTGAGATCATAATAAATTATTTATTTTTATTCTTAAATAATTTCATGTAATAAAATATTATTTTTATTGTTAAATTTTTAATAAAAATTGTTTTAAAATAAATATGAATATTTTATTATAAATCTTATATACCGGTTACTTTAAAAGTTGGTCCGAGTTACTTATATCAATAATTTTCTACTTATTTTAAGTATTTTTTAAAATTTTAAACTATTTAAGTGTAATATCATAATAAAATATTTATTTTTATTCTTAATTTATAACTACTCTTGTCAAATAATAAATTTTTAATTTATTCGTACTTAATTTTATAATTTTTTTATATCTCTCTTAATTCTTTAATTTTACTATGACACTTGATTTTTTATTATTTTTTTACCCTCAATCTTTTTCGATTTTCTTCTTACCTTATACTTTGATCTTCAATTTTCCTCTTTTATCTCTTATGGAACCTTTGATTTTCTGTATTAGATACCGATCTTTTATTAGCTTCAATATTTGATTCTCTTTTCTTTTTACCATGTTGATTTTCAAATTTTTGCTCAATTTCGGTATATTTTCTAGCTCATCCTTTCTGCTTATTTACAAATTTAAAAATAACACTATTATGTAGAAAAATTGCATGATTTGAAGCAATTATTTCCGTACACAGTGTGTGGCATGGGGGCGCACCAAGTACCAAGTACAAGCCGTGTATTAAACAACCCCTCCCGTGTTGTCCTTTGCTTATGTTTATATCTCACCCACACTTTACCTATTTCAGTTTACAATTAAAATACACGCTGTGCACTATACGTTATTCTAAGACCAATTATAAGCTGTTTGTCAAGTTACTCTAACCATCACTACAGTCAATTAACACTGTCAAACACACTATTATGAATTTATATTCAGTACCTTGCTTGTAGCCATATCCATCCCCATATGAGAACATACTTAAATATAATAATTATTGAAGTTCTTGAAATTATTAAAATTTCAAGACATCAAATAAGTCTTTATCCCAAATCAAAATGTTAAACTTTTCTGTGAGCCATAAATAGAGGGTAAAGAGATACAGCTCTATGATCTCTGTTCTTTAGCAATTTCGTGCATGAAGAAGAATAACAAAAAAGTCCAAAACGACAGGTACATGAATAGAATCTACAACCCATAAAGAACAGTAGCAGAATGGGCCTGATTCCTGAGATAGAAATAAAACGAATAAATATTTTATTCTTATTCAATGTAGGAATCTCGTAGTAAAGATAGTGGGAGCAAAATGTGTGACAATTCGTTGGAGATTTTTATGAATTCATTGTTTTACAAAGGTCCATTGGAATCGGACACAGTGTAGAAGTAGTAGGGTGGTGGATGATAGTGATAGGGTGAGGGTTGAAAATATGAATACATTTGCAAACTTATAAAGTATAAATCTCAAGTTTAACTGTAAGGTGTGATGGGTCCCTCCACCCACAACTTTTGTGGAGTGTATTAAAGTTGAAGATTTTATAGGGCCAATGCTGGGCTCTCTTCTCTGGAACATCATGTACTACTCTCGTTCACCATGAACTGTCACTGGTCCAAAATAAAATCAGCAATGAACCATGCATAATGGAAAAGGCCCATGAGTCTCTCACCAAAAATAGGGGTGGTCCAAAATCAGCCTATCTACTCAAATTCTGGCTTTATGTGCACTACTTTCAGTTTCTCACTTTTGGAGTGTAATTGTTTGTGGGATCTACTTCTCCAAGTGACTAAGACGATAACTTATGAATTGAGAAATAAACAATAATAAAGAACTTTATGCTCAGATATCTGCCGGTCTTCTATCTCTACCAAATCCCACCTTCTAATAAAGCTTCAACCTTTAAAATCGCAACACGCGACTCAAAGGACAAAAAAGACGGGGTAACCATGTTTCATTTAGTAAGATAAGGTGTGATTTAACAGTGGATGGGTGATTCAACCACTGCAATTGTTACTTTAATGTTTAATACTTTCCGTGGTTGTTTGTGTTGTGTTTGGTAGAAGCAGAAAGGAGAGAAAGAAGGAAGTGTAGTTGTAGGAACATGGTGGGAAACTCTGTGTTGGAGAAGAGGCCGTGGTGGCTATCTCAGAATCTGATGGTGCCAATCATACTTTGATTATTCTAAAAAAATATCTGAAAAGAGAAGAAAATTTAGTAGGAATATGGGGGTATCAATAGCAACCTACTCAGAAACTGGGAATTTTGGGCTATTCCATTGGGCTTAAATGAGCTATTATTATATACGCTACATGTGAAATAGTATTCGGATTTTGTCAACATAAAAAGCGCTTTTTAATCCGAAAATTGATTTTTTGAATATTACAATAAACTAATTAATAGGACAGAAAAATGGTCGTGATTGATGGAGAAAGTTTGAAGAAGGTTGTGAAAGACCATGGCATCAGCGAAAGATCTTCTTAGAAACTTGAGGCGATCAAGGTTTGATTGTGAGACTTTCAGCTCACCTACCATTAAACACGCATATAATGCAATAAAATATTACAAACAGGCGTTAATGGACAATTACCTTCAACACTTGTGGCTTCACTAAGATATCTCCAACAACCCCTCCAAATTTACTACTCGTAACTTCTAATCAAGCTTCAACCATTAAAATCATCTCTGGTTTTTCTTTCCCTTTTTTCTTTTTCGAAGAATCTTACACTAAATATTTTTCAATCCGTCATAATTAACATGCAAATTTTCCAAGCAACAGGCCGCTAAATTGGGGGAAAAAAAAATAGGAGCGTGGTGGGACGAAGAAAAAGTTGGTGATATAAAATAAAAGTCTTGATAATATATCAAGCAAATCGTGACGAATTGTCATGCTTGATATTCAAATGCAACGATTTTGGAGCTTTTCAACTTTTCCGCACCAAACATGCTTACGTAGGTCGCTCTATGTTTTTTCTTTCTATTATTTTATTCGTAACTTTTCACATAAACCAAATAAAATAAACTTGTTGTCACTATCTGCTCAAAACAATATTTTTTAGAATTAAGATTGATGATAATTTTTTAAACATTTTCTTCTCTTTTAATCTATAAGATGTATTTTAAAAATAATATATTTATTAGAAGAATTAGGATGTGACAAATAGGGTTAAGCATGATCACATGTTAATTACCTTTTTTTGTTTAATAATGAAATACGGTACTCCTTGAAAATAAGCTATATAACATAGCTTGTGGCCTTTTCCATTGTATCATAGAATGAGGTAAATTGAATTAGCTACAAAGCTTTCTATTTTCTAGAATAGAAGTATCAACCATTTCTACTCCTTTGTTTTTTGTTGGGTTTCAAATCTTCATAAATCCAAACTAAAGGAGCAGAAATAGTTAAGCACAACGAACTTGTGTAGATTAATTATGGAGTAATTTACATAAAGTGATATGGTATTATAAAACAATGTTACAATTAAAGGAATTTTAGGACATTATCTCATCATTAATCAATATAAAGAAAAATATTTACGCAACGTTATGGTCCATTTATACCCAAGTACCACTTTGTTTGCTTGACTTCAGATACAATCGATTTCCACAAATGACTTCAAAATTGTTTCGAATAAGTCTTTTTCTTCCATTAATTTTCTTTAGCGGTTCCATAATGCATGGTTTTGAAATTTCAAAAGTCTTACGTTCAACTAAATATTTGGTTAATTCCTATCTTGGTTCATAAAATATACTTTCATACCCATAAATTTGTTTGTGCACGTTTTTTTCTTAAATGATACCATCAGCATTCACACACTGATCTCGAAAGTTATTAATAGTCTTGTAAAAGTTTCTGTCACAAGTTAATAATAGTCTTACCATTACGTTTGCATAAGGCTACGTATAATCGAAATTTATAAAATAAGTAAATGGGAGAAAATATTAGCGACGGTATAAATTTAGTTGCAACACCGTGACATATTACACATCTGATATCAGATCCATATTTTACATAAAAGTTACATTTTATTAGTTATTCATATATTTTTTGAGATTATAATAACACGAATTCTTAAAGATAGATAAGCTACAAATAATAAATCTTAAAATATTAAGATATAAATTTTTCTTATTTATATAAGTTGTTCATGTTTTTTATTTCTGTTCGAAACAAGATTTTAACTCACATCTATATTTTTAATATTTAATTTTACTTGGTTATTTAATATTTCATAAAAAAATTGTTTAAAGACTCTTCTTTATTAAATATTACTTTTTTTAGTTATTAAAATATCAATAACAAACAAAAGTTAAAATATTATATTTATATTTAAATAGTACGTTAAGGTTCCAACATAAAATCAATTGATTATATGTGGAGTAACTTAACATGTATTTAAACCATATAAAATGACATGAGACAAGCGACGTGAGACTTTCAAACTCTTTTTATCAAAGTCTGCCAACAAATAGTACTTTTGACCCATAATGAATGATAACTCTTAACTCTGATGTCATATCAAAGTTCCAATATAAAACCACTTGACAATATGTAAAATAGTCTAATATATATTTAAACCATAAAAAATAATAACATGAGGCAGACGATGTCAACATAATATAATATTATATTACATGTTTACTAGATAATGAATGTTTCTATTAAATCCTATATCCTATGAGATAAATTATGATAATAATTATGATTTATTATCTAATATCAAATCTTATGTTCATTGTCTAATCATAAAATACACTACTAAAGTTATTTAGTAATTAAAAAACCTCTACTATAATGACTACACACACAAATATATTAACCCTCAAACCACAATAACTTAAGACATAAACACAAAACTATTAACCCTCAAAGTTCCAACAAAATGTAATAAATAATTTTTAGAGTTTTGCATAGAAAATTTTAAAATTTTATCCATTTTTTTCCATAACAAAAAGTGATATTAAAAATTTTAGAAGAATAAGAGAATTTTTTTCCCCGTGAACATTGATATAAAGACTAACATTTAGATAATTTATAGTTTTTTATTAAGTAAAAAAAATTATTTGACTGCATTGATAGTATTAATTAAACAAGATTTCTATTTCTTTTATATTAATTTAATTGATATTTTTTAGAAAATTAAATTTTAATATATACTTTTTACATTTATTTTTCATTATTTTAAAAATATTTATTAGACTTTATTTTTTATTCTTTCTTATTTAAAGTGAGATTTTTTTCTCCTCCACTCTTAAGGTAGAGTTTATTATTTTTACATTAAATCACATTTATTAATTATTATTATAAGAATATAATTGATAAAATCGTCATAACTTAAAAATATAATATATAAAGAGGAATATGTTTTTATAAAAGGTTGAGTCTTGATTTATTTATTAAAAAATATAAGTTATTTATTTAATATTAGTAAATGCATTACATTGAAACACCGTCGTTTATACTTCTATATAGAAAAATTATATATATGTTGAGGTATAGAATAACTTTATAATTTAAAGAATGATTCGTTAAAATTTTAATGTTAATATGTTATATTTATATGAAAATATATTAATTTACCGTCAAAATAATGTTAATTATTTATTTAAATACAATAAAAGTAATAAGTGGAAATAATGTTTTTACTGTTAGTAAAAAAATAATGTTTTGTACGACGTAAACGTCACTCAAAGTGAGAACGTATTCTTTTTTACTTTGACGGAAATGTGAAACTCTTTGACGGGCTATAAGAAATGGTGCCCTTTTTAACATTAATTCCACACGGAACCGTTCTTTCTTTTTTATAATGCTATGACAACCTTTGTTTATTAACTTTACGAGTCATCCATTTTTTCTCATTTTTCTTTTTCTAATGACTTAAACTTGACTAAAGGAATTTGAAATTTGATTTCCAATAATTGTTCTCAATATAAATTTAATATTTAAAATATTATTATTTCCTTTTAATAATAAGTTTATAATTAAACTGAATAAATTATAAAAGTAGTTATTCAAATATTATTATAAATTATATTAAATATTTTGCTTAATGATTCGATTAGGAATAAGAATTCTTCAATTCCATGTTTTTTACGATAATCATTACATCTAAATTTTATGTGTGATTTATTGTTTGTCTTGAAGTTTCAATTCATCAAGATTTTGTCTTTAAAAAATTCTCGATATTTAAGAGAGGGGATGTCTATAAATTATGTTTTACATTAACTTTTATACTATATAAGACTTATAAGCATATCAAAATCTAACTTCCTAGCAGAGGAATAAGGGGTGGGAGTAAAACAAGACTCTATTCTTAGTTTCATAGTAGATATCAAATATTTTTATTAGACTGATGGATGTCGATAAGAAGATGTGAGGTTAAATTGAGGAGGTCGATAGATCAGATTCCTTTAAACCTATATGCAAAACTCCTTAATTCTTGAGTGGAGGACTATATTTAGATACATTCACAAGTTTTATATCATTTAAAAATTTAGGGTAATTTATATACGTCGTTCTTTCTTAATTCACCAATATATTCTTTCTTAATTCACCAATATATTTTTTAAAAATAAAAATGTGATGAATTATAATTATAAAATGAATATTATGTTAAATATGATAATTAATTCTAAGAGATCATATAAATGAATATTTTAGTGACTAGTTTTTCCTAATTTATTATTTTAGACAAATTTTACTTATAGTTTTGTGACTGTCAATAGTTTGATGGGTTTTGTATATAAAGGAAACTGAATACGAATTTATTACATAACAATTCTCACATTTTATAAATGTACAGTGTCTAACAATTGTGTCAATCCATTTTATATAATTTTATTATTTTAGGAACTATTTAAGAGAGAGGATAATGTTATAATCATCAAAATTATGAATTTCTCGTTTTCCACTATATTTTTATTCACATTCTATTTTCATTTCCTCAATAATTTAGATATTATTATTAAATTATGCATAATTCAATAATTTCATTCAAGAAGTTTTTTTGATAATGGAAGAACAGCAAAGATTTTTTTTAGTATTTTTACTATATGTCTTATATATTTTTTTTGTATATTTTTCTTTTTAAATTAAAGAATTTTTTTCATTTATTTAGGTTAAAATTTCCTATTTTCATTTACCACGGATCCGTTCTTTCTAACAAGCCCAAAATAATAACTAAAGGACGCGTAAAGAAAAAGTTGTGGAAAATCTAAAGCTAAAGCACTCGCAACTCATCATTTAATTACTAAACAAATGCTTTTAAATATGAGAGAATTTTAAAAAGCATGAAAGGAAAATAATTATCAAATTGCATTTTGTGGAAGTGGAAATCTACGCGGAGCTTTTACTTTGATTGGTTATACTTTTGTGTGATTCAAACCATAACACTGTTTATGACTTTAATAATTTCAGTCAACAATTTATGGAGACTTGAATGAGATCGACTAAAAGCCAAACAAATACAGGGAGTTATTTATTCATATATCAAGACACTTTTAAAAATATTTAGATATAAAATACTTTACTTCAACCTAATTTTTAATTGAAATATATTTTATAAAATTTAGATCATATAGAAAATGTACTCTCAAGTAAAATATAGTACTCATATAGATTTGAAAACTTTTTTTTTAATTTACGCAGACCCAACAAAACTCCTTGAAAGTAATATTCAGGCTTCAAATATTGTAAACATTAAAAAGAAACGATAGAAATATTTAAACATAGTAGTAGACAACTAGTAGTCCATCTCGTTCTATACTAAATTAAAATCCAAAATGATATTTTTAATACCATAAAATGCAAAATAAGTATATTATATGAATACTTCAAACAAACACCATCTTTTTTTCTCAGACACATTCTAAGAACGTTACCAATAAAAAAGATAACTTTTTTCATTGTTTGTTCGCAAAAGGCATGAAAAAAATGCACCATTATTCTTCTAACATGGACACGACCTAGTCCGAACCAAGTCCTCTTCCTTGGTCGAAGTGGGTATTGATTTGTTGGTTAGTAACTAAATCACTTATTAATGTTTATGTTAATGCTAACTATGATGATAAACCTAGTCTTGGTCCTGTTTGGTGTATGGGTTTGGTTGGATTAGCTTATTGCAGCTTGCGTTTCTTGACTTGTAACGCGTCTTCCAATTTGCATGTGACTGTAATATCCAAGGTTGTTGACTCACTCAGATGGAGCAGCCACAAAAGTTGAAGTAAACTTCTCAGAGTTGATTAAACACAATCTCCAAGCACTTCACCCCTCCCCCCCCCAAAAAAAAAAACAAACACATTCTCCGAGTTGACTCCGACCCAAACTTGCGGAGGTTCTTTACACCTTGTATAACGATCTATTTACTACTGCTAGAAAAGAAAAATAGAACAATAAGGAACAAATGTTAGGAATCTTCTAACGTTGACTACGAAATTTTGTTACACTTAACAACCATGTTCGTTAATTCAACTTGCTTAGATTAAGATCCCATAATTACTCAATCATCCATCCATGCTAAATTTATTTGCAGTCACATGGTAACGGTGTACAGGATAAGAAGTCTTCTGTTTGGCCCGTTAATAATGCTTGTATTGTTTTTAAACGAACATGTTCATGGAAAAATATGTATATATTAAAGTTGAAGTGAAGCTTGTGATGGAAACATAAGATTGTATAATGCTTAAAATAAAAACTAAAAAAAAAAAATGGTATAGAACGAAGTATCGATTATTAAATACAGCATCGTACGTATGTGTATGTTATGGGTGGAATACAGTCAACCTCTTGGGTAAGGGACTGACGACATTGCTACGCAAGAAAGACGAAAGCGATGAAAGAGGTTGCTTTGCATCACACACTACACATGGCACCTGTTTGGTTAAACAGGCCAACAAATTTATCGTTATTCACTTCATCCATCAAAATCACCTTTCTAACTTTAGATACCAAAAATTAAAATAAAAAGAAAGAAAAACGAATGTGTTGAGAAGTTTTAAGTTGCACAAAGAGACAGATGTGAAAGGGTGGTGGTTTCAAACTGGTTGAAAAACTTGTCTACTTCATAAGTCGGAATTCCAGATTTCCCAATTGTTGTTTTTGGAACAAATCAAATTGCTTTTACATGACACACGTAGTGGAAGCTTCCTGTTATGCAGAGAGAAGGGGGACCCGGTGGGAGACATAACACGCCGTTTACATAATTTCATAATCAAAAGCTTTTAAATTTTTAATTTATGGGGTTTCTTTGTCAATAAAAAATTGTTTTTTTTTTTTTAAATCTGAGAGATGGAATATCATAATGTAACATAATTCATACTTTATACGGATTAGAGCATCTAGATTATGCGTGTTTTGTTTAAAAATTCAAACTTTTTTTTTTTTTTTTCTCTTCGGTTTTCTTATGTGAGACTTTTAGTCATCGTTGGACATCAACCACTCAACAACCTAACCCCACCCACTCCTATAATAACCCCCATCTTCCCTCTTTCTCTTCCACAACCTCCTCCATTTCATTCATCTTGAGAGGGCTTGTTTTTGCTACAAACCGATTAACAACAAAATAATCAATTGACCTAGGTTCAACAGCCACTCACTACCAGTTTGTATCTCCCTTCTTGTAAGTTGTCAGCGGGATCCAACGAAGAGATTCTCAAATTGCCAAGTACGTATCTTTTCCAGGATCAAGCAGGAGAGGTGAAAGGGGTTCCGTAGTTTTGGCAACATGGTTGGAAAGTTGACGGTAGTGAGGCTTGTGTTGGCCATATCTGTGTTGAGCTCTCTCCTTCTGACAACCTCGGCACAGTCACAGACATGCCAGAGCCAGACCTTCTCTGAGAACAAGGCATTTACCACGTGTCGTGATCTTTCTCACTTGAGCTCTTACCTTCACTGGACTTATGACCAGGCCACAGGGAAGTTGGATTTAGCATTCAGACACGCTGGAATCACTGCAACAGACAGGTGGGTTTCGTGGGCTATCAATCCCAGCAATAACCTCGATTCATCTATGATGGGAGCACAGGCGCTGGTGGCTATCTCACAATCTGGTGGCACCCCAAGAGTGTACACTTCTTCCATCGATGGCTACTCAACCCAGTTGCCAGAGGGAAACATCTCTTATGCTCACTCTGGCTTGACGGGTACCCGTCAGAATAATGAGATCACCATCTATGCTACCCTCACTCTTCCAAACGGTACCACTAATTTGGTCCACCTTTGGAATGATGGTCCTCTCTCTGGTTCTACTCCTCAAATGCATCCTCAGGCTAACACCCAATCTAAGGAAAGTTTGAATCTTCTTTCTGGCGCCAGTCAGGCAGGATCAAGTGGGGGTTCACTTAGAAGAAGAAGAAATGTAAGTACCAGTTATTCTGGTTGGTTTTCTTGAGATTAAATATTTATTCTACCATGGTTCTCCAAGGGGGCGTTTGGAATTTTGTTTTATTCTTTGAGAAATTGATTGAAAGATGTTGATTTGTTCAGGTCCATGGAATTCTAAATGCGCTGAGCTGGGGGACTTTGATGCCCCTTGGTGCTATCATAGCTAGGTATTTGAAGGTGTTCAAATCTGCTGACCCTGCTTGGTTTTACCTTCATGTTACCTGCCAAACCTCTGCATACATAATTGGTGTTGCTGGTTGGGGAACTGGTCTCAAACTGGGCCATGATTCAGTTGGTATTAAGTATAATACCCATAGAACACTCGGAATCGTTCTCTTCTGCCTCGGAACCCTTCAGGTATGACTTGTGAGATGTTCTTCAGTTGTTTGTTTCCGAAGCCTCTTTTTTTGAATGTTATGGGACTCAGGAAACTACCTCTTTCGCTGAATACAGGTTTTTGCTCTGCTTTTAAGGCCAAACAAGGATCACAAAATCAGAATCTACTGGAACTTTTATCACTATGCCATTGGATACGCCACCATAATCATCAGTATCGTCAACATCTTTAAAGGGTTCGAGGCATTGGAAACTTCCGTAGGGGATCGCTACAATAGCTGGAAGCATGCTTACATTGGCATTATTGCAGCTTTGGGTGGAATTGCTGTGCTTTTGGAGGCTTACACATGGATCGTTGTCATGAAGAGGAAGAACTCGGAGAACAAGACGGGACATGGCATCAATGGAACACATGGGGTTAATGGGTATGGTTCTAGTGCACAGCATGTGTAGGGAAAATGACCAGATAGATACTGGATTTTTGGCTTCTGAATTCTATCTATATGAGTTTTGTTGTTAAACCTCTTTTCTGTCTGTATATTTGTTTACACGTGAGTGTATTTAGGACACTCCCAGTAGATTAGAGTTTGGTTTTGATATGAAATTCTTTCATAGGATAGATAGTGCGTTCCTGCTATTCCAGAGGATACTTTGTATCGGTTTCCATATTTGTATTTATTTACTTCCATCTTACTTTTTCTCCATACCTTTCAGTTTCCAATTTCTTTGTTATGTTTATCTCTCGGGGTTAGATGACGCTATAAAATTTTCTTTGATATTTCGGCTTGGGGCAAGAGCAGAGTGGATTTTGGTGAAGTTTTTCCAAAATCTTTGTAGGGAATTGAACTTCTTCTGCACCTTGAAATTCAACGGTGGAGAGCTGTGAATAAGAGATAAAAGCTATAAAGAACAGAGGCAGGACCTGACATGACATATTTTGGTGAGCATTATTGACCTAACCTCTTTGGAATCATTTGAATTGATGAAGCCGAAGGGATGGATAAATATGCTCTTCTTGTCACATTCCTTCCTCTATTTGACATTAGGACTATTCTCTTCGTCCCTGGCTTCAAACTATTCCGCATCAATCGTTTTCTATATTTAATACACACACCATGATCCTTTGAAAACCAAACCCACAAGCAGCTACGCACGCCATCTTATTTTTTATGAATTGTTCCTGTATTTCGGCCAAACATTTTTAAGACCGTGCCAAAAGGCCAAGGCACTAGCTGTATTATAGGATATAGAAAAAGAGTCACGAGTAAATGTCAAGAATCACAGCACATTCTAGGCGGAAGTTACAGAAAGCCTCTCACACCCCATGTGAGTGGAATTAATTTAAAGCGGTTGAAAGTTTCTGAATAATTTTTTTGAACTGTGTTATTTCACTTATACGTACATCAATATATTATATATAATAACATGTATAAAATATATTTTGTTTTCTGATTTCCCCAATTAGATTACCAAGAATACTCCAATATTATCTAGATCAAACCAACTAAATTTCGATCACTCTGTCCAAAGATTCTTCTTAGCTGACGCCAATTCTCTCTCTCAAGTTAAGAAGTATATATCAATCATAACCAATTTGTCAAGTGAGCTATAGAAAGCTTTCCGAGATACAACCTTTATTAGAATATCTGTTAATTGATCTTGTTGTGAGGCAACGAATAAAAAACTTATTGTACTTTGTCCAGGTGATATTTGATAAGTGGGGCTCCACTTCCACAAGCTTATTAAGTTCATATTGTAGTGAGTCATTTGCCATTGATATGGTTGCCTTATTATCGCAATATACTATATAATTCCATTGAGTAGGTCCAGGACGATTTCGATTAGGCAAAAGAACAGCTGAGTCAGACATAGCTTGAGGTGCTTCTATAGTGTGTCCCTGCTTGTGGTCCTTGCGAACATATGCATAACATGATTCAAGATGAAGAGGAGCCACAAAAATATATGGACTCGAAGGCGAGTCATGGTATTGTTGTACAGGCAAAAGGGTGGACAATAACCCTTTGTTCTGGACGGGTGTTGACAGAGTTGTCTTCCATGGTTGCAAACTATTGGTAAGGAGGCTTTGGTGGTGGTACTGTGATCTCCACTGGGTTAATGCAGGTCGGATACCATGTAGAAAAGGGAACAAAGAATATTTTCTGAATTGTGTTACTTCACTTGTACATACATCTATATACATCATTAACACAATATATATTTGTTTCCTTATTTTCCTAATTAGAGTACCAGAAATACTCCACAGTTATCTCAATCAAATCATCTAAACTTTGAATGAATATGAAATTCCACGATTCTCTTCAAGATTCTTCCCTAATTTCCTTAGCTCACGCCAACAGTTCCACCGTTAACACGCGAGTATTTTGACCAGAATTAGAGTATATATGCTCAAAAATCACATTTTCCACATCAAATTCTATTGGAGTATAGCGTTATTTTCACTACTTTTTTTTTTTCTACAATACTTACTATAACGAATAAATGTGAAATAAAATAAATATATGTTACAAAGAAATAAAATTGTAAAAAAATGGTTACGAATTTTTAAAGTGAAAACAACATTAATATATTTTATTATTAGATAATTTTTTGTTAACCTTGCTACATAATTTAAATCAATCCTTGTTTAACGGGACCATTTACTACCCAAAAACCAATGTCCAAAACAAGTGACAATCTTTTAACATTCATAATATACTGATAATATTGACAATATCATATAAAAAGAGTGCCCTTCTTTTAACTGATTTAAAGTGATTTATTATTGTAAGAAAATATTTATCATTAAGAACTTTGCATTCATATAAGAATTTATAAATTCTGGAAAAAAATGTATCAGATAATCTTCCCGAAGAATGTAGAATCTTAAAAAATATTTGAGCAAAAGGTAAATGAACTAACAAAGATGGCTTATACGACAGGTTCTTGCCATTATTTAGTAGTAACTTTCCTCACACCATTTGGCGCAGAGCATCAACAAGTGCATCCTTTAAGAAAGGATTTGAAGCTGCTACTCGCTGAGATGTTATGTCAAAGTCTGCACCAGACCTGAAGCAAGCGAAACATCGGATGTTGACGTAAGCATGAAATCTTTCTAACATATCTGCAACTGTGTTTGATAGCACAACTACTACGAGTCCAAAGCTCCTATTGAATTGGACTCTCAAATTGAGACTAGGTCCAAAAGAAATTGAGGAATGTGGGCAAACCAATCAGCTACAGAGACTAGAGTCACTTGGGTTCTCCTATTACAACTTTAATAAATTCTAGTTTTATAAATTCTGCAATTCTCTTATGATGTCACGTTACTGCAAATTCTGTTTCTTTATTTGCGGGCATCCAATGACCTGTACTATGAGCCCAGCCAGCACATAAGTCTTATTTTGACATGAATTAGAGGAGAAGAATTCAGGAACAGTTTACAATTTTCTTTGTTTGGAGATTCTCCTTGTCCTTGAATTCAAGGAATATTAGTGTCGCTGTCAGTGTTGTAACTTTCTAAGGTGCTAGTAAGTTCTGTCAACTGTTTCTAAAATGTCACAATGCATGTCCACCCAACAATGTCTACATAACTGCCCACAAGATGAAGATGCATGCGAATGCGGAGACTATCTAGAACTTAATACTTAGTCCCTTCGTGAAGAATAAGGATGTCTAATAAAAGTTACTTACGGATCAAACACAACACCTCCAGCTTCTCTAACGATGACAGCACCACCTGCTACATCCCTAGAAAAAGAAAGAGACCTTGTGAATCACATTATCACATTGCCCAACATTAATGAAGTACGAGATATTCATACCAAGGACCACCAAAGCCAAGTTCAAATAATATGTCCAGCCTTCCACACGCAATTCCACAAAGATTCAGAGCGCAGGAGCCACTCATTCGAAGAGACCTCACCTGATATAGTAAAGGCGTGTTACGGCGGAAACAGTAATATCACCTTACTCGAATAGATTAAATGAAAAGTCCCAGCTTTACCTTGAAAAGCAAGCTTTTAATCCTATTGGTAGATTCATCTACTGTTTCTTTGTCACGTTTTGTTCCAACCTGCTCTTTCAGAAGGGAAAAGCATTGGTGTTTCAAATTTGTCTTGATTCAATTCAAAAGATAAAATATTTATGTGAAACTCACCAATAACCTTAGTATTCCAAGTTAGTATAAGATAACCTTACTAACCAAACACAATGTACTCACTGGGGATACAACCTAAAACAGACTTAAGAATGACAAGTTACAATCTAACAAATGATATCACATGGATTTTTTGGGACATTTGGAGTTTACTAAGATTAAAATATACTACTAGAAAGCAATATTAGATTATTATTTCTTCAAAAAAACTCACAATCATTGCCTGAATAAAATGAAATAATTTGAATTTGTTGTTTTCAAGAATGCAAACAACACGCTTACGATTACAAAGGTTATGAAATGGATACATAGGGAATAAGCTTTAAAGTTGGAAGATTTAGGTGGCAATAGGAATTAAAATGTAAGGCTCTAATAAAATTTTCGTGCCCCAACATGCTTTCAAATCCTTGTAGAAAACATCTAAACATCAAGGGCAAGTTACCGATACAGAGATAATTTGATACATAGCATTTTTTTAGCATTCTAAATTTTTTGGAAATAGAGACTTCAGAGGGGTAACCGGGGGTATTAGAGAAAAAAAGGGAAACCATGAAAAAGTATAATTAGGTAGTGAATAATCATATTTGGGGGGAAAAGTGAGTATTATGAGTTCAATGGGTTCCAGCAGAAATGACCATGACTTATGCAGTGTCATCTTACACACTACCATTGGATCATAATCCTTGAACATAAAAAATTCAACATTTTCAATCTAGTAAATTCGTAAACGAATTATATAATTATAATTATATAGTAATGATATAGATATATATATATTAGATACCAGATGAATCAATGATTTATAAGAATTTTGCTAAAAAAATAGACTTATAGATTAATAAATAATAAGAGAATAGAACTAAGATACTTGGATTTCTTATCTTTATTTTCACAAACATGATTAAAATTTATGTCATATATGCTAATTTGAATTGATTAATAGTACAAATTATTCAATTCAAAATTATACTTTTTTTATAAGTAATACTATTTATTAAACAAATTGGATTCACAAAGTGTTAAATGTTGAAAAAAATTAGATCTATAAAGTTAATCTGGTGCAAATTGTGTTGAATAAGACTATCATCAGGTTATGATACAAATCATATGCTTACTAGAAAATCCTGCCGTATAAAAATTGAATAGAATGTTAGATCAATTACAGGACATAGGCAAGGTTTATTACTATTCACAAAGTTGATATGTAGCCTTGTTGATTAACTGAAATATATATTCTCATTTAGAAGGCCATTCCACACACATTGATATTTTGAAGCAAACTATATTTCTCATTTCATGCATCATCAACACAACAATATGGAGAGGGAGTGGAAGCACTTCATTGAAGCAAAGAGTATGAATAAAAAAATAAGAATGGATTCGAGATAGTAAACTATAACAGGCTTGACTTACCTCAGTCGCAAGAAGAGAGCTCATCAGTTCAGTTTCTGACGATACTGTGAAATTTTAAGGCATAAGCATAACATTTAAATTAACAACAATCAATCAAAAAGATAAAGAACAGATGACACACCTTTTATAGGATTCCCATTCAAAAAGGCACCTTTTCCACGGATTCCAGTAAACAGCTACGAACAACAATCCCAAATTTTAGTTTGTATAGCATGCAAGAGAGGAAAATTAATTAAAAATCCTACAAAGTTAAACTCGTCATACCATTATACCTAATTTACACATAAATTAAATTCTCAAATTCCTAAATGAATTAAGTCAATATCTATTCTCAAACAAGTCTTTTATTACATTAAGGATACAGAAAAAAAAAATGATGATAAAAGAAGACAACAAAACAATTGATTGAGACTTGCCCATAAAATTCAATATTGCCCACTTTCTACATTTGGCCAGTATCCAAGAGCCACAGAACAAAACAATACATGCAGAATTAACATTTTATAAGTTTTGGATGTTGCTAAGTTCTAATGGAACTTTTCATTTTTTTTGTAGTCAATCACTTGTAAAGCATCTGCATGAGGGAAGATTACTCACCTCATTAATGATTGGATTGTATACAACACCAATTGTAGGAGTTTTTCCAATTGTGAGACCAATGGAGACACAAACAAAGGGGAACCTGTAAATAGTAGAATCATAATCAACCGATATTGAAATATTAGTGTATCACGAATCCACTGTCAGCTTAAACATCAGAATTGTTACCCATGCACAAAGTTAGTAGTTCCATCCAGGGGATCAACTATCCATGTGGGTTCATCTGTAAGTTCTGCAGTGCCACAGGCCGCGGTGGTTTCTTCCCCAATGAGCTAAGAGCACCAATTTAAATGAACTTAAAGGAAAATTATACTGGCAAAAAAGATAAAATAATCACCCATCTTAAACTTGATTAATGATTATATGTACGGTTCAACCTTGTGAGTGGGATAAAGCTGTTTGAGATGATTAAATATGAGTTCTTCACAAGCTTTATCAGTTTCTGTGACCAAATCAACCTGTGCATCATGTAAAAAAAGTAAAAGACAGTAAGCAAAAGGGATATTGAGGCAGTTCATTTATACTTATTTTCTAAAATAAGCAATTATTTTAATAAATTAAACATATTTTTGGCTTTTTATCTGTTTGTCTAATCAGCTTAATTAAAAAAAAAAAGCAATTTTCTGCTTATTTTAATAAGCAAATATTATCTGCTTCTTGAATAGGTGATTATTTTAAAATTGATGATTTCAAAAACACTTTAAACAAATTGACCCATAATCTTTCATCACTTTTTGCCATGACAATGCCCATATTATACTTAATTCAATTGCTAACTGAACTTCTTTACAAGAACATAGATCAAGGACACCAAACTTCTCACTTAAATTTTTCCTATAGTCATTCATTCATATTCCACGCTTTTTTTATCTTGGTGAGTCTTGATTGCTTAGACATTGATATGCATAAAACAATTACTTACATACTAAGTGTGTGCTTAACTTAACATATCAAATGGAAAACAAAAAATCAAGAAAATTAACCAAAAGTTAAACTTTTGGTCCCTATTTATGATGCTATATTTTAGCAGGAACCCTACATGAAAAAAAAAAAAAAAAGGAATAAGCCAATATAACACCATCTACTCATCCCTCATGGCTACAAGATTATGACGACATGTCAACACGTGTATAACTAGATGTGTTAAGGTTTTGGCCCCTACATAACAGATTATGACGTCATGTCAACACTATTTTCAAGTTGTCTTCGTACACCCAAAAAAAGTTTTCATATTCATCACTGTATGTGAAATCATTCCCTCTTTGCCATTAGTACTAGTGATATATCTAAACAAAAATTCTATTGCTTTCTACACAGCTTGACAGAAGATTGTAGAATACAGAAAGCAAAGTCCAAATGCTAAATGATAAACTCTAATGTATACAATCATAGATGAGGTTGAAGAGGCAGACATTAGGTTGGCAATCATAAATTATAAGTTACGAAAATATGACCCAATGAAACAAAGCTGGGTTGGCAAAACCAACCCACCATTTCCATGTTCCCCACTCAAACACTTCTCTACTTGCACCCCATTGATAATCAAGACTGAAGATCAGTTCCCACTCTTTAATCTTCTTTCCCATATCTTAAATTTGAAAAACCCTAAGGCATGGTTGTCAAATAGGGATTAAAATCATAAATCAAAAGACGTATTTTCTGAATCATAATAATGAATCGTAAGATTCATAATCAATAACAAAAAAATATATTATATATACTATATAGCTAGTAAAAGCATAAAAAAAATCTAAAGAACATAGATCTAAGAGTGTCTCATATAAAGAAACAATGAAAACATCTGTACATTTCCATTTTAAAGTCAAATAACTCACTGCATAGCTAATAAAGTGAAAGATAAACTTCAGAGTAAATTTTAATTCAACGAATAACAGTCAAAAGGAACTTCAAATAAATTAAGGGCTATGTAGGGAGACACTTTCACAGTGGTTAGTGGCTTCACAAAATACCAACCTCTTTCTTTTTATGTGACTCATTTTTCACCCTGTCGGCACACAGAGCCAGAGTGTGCTCACAAGGTTCAACAACAAAATAGAGAGATAACAGCAGTAGTAAAATACAAGATTTAGAGGTAGGGAACCACTGGCCCTGCAGGACTTGAATAATGAATGCAAGCGACAAAATATATTAGGAAACACAGAAAATACGAAACATGTGCAGTGAGTGGGAGCAGGGTAGACACAGATGAATTGGCACCGGGCGAAGCATGGCCTCTGTTGAATTGTGATAAGCATATGTCTAGATGAGTTGAAGGTATCACATAAGGATTGTCTGAAGTAATGTTTCTTGAAGACTTGTACTATTTCTTTCGAAATAAAATTTGAAGTTAGTGATGTACTCAGTAAACTAGAGTATAAAGACGCAAGAAATAATTAAATGAAGTTGTTTGAGTAATTGCAATACGAAAAGAAGAAAAAAAAAACAATAAACACAAAAATGAAACAAATCTGACCGGTAGAAGTTCTTGCTAGTATAGCACCAATACATTATACACAATTCCCAAAGGAAGCCCCGTTTTGATACAATATTGAAATCTAGGCTTTAAAAATGGTCTGCAATTGCAGCCGCAATGTCAAGGTCTGCAATTACAGTTGTGGCCCCACCAGTTGCAATTTTCACGACACTAAGAATCATGACATAATCGCAATTGTAACTGTAACTGCAATCCCAATTCAAAACCTCAATTGAAACTATAGGGTTTCAGGTACAGAAGATGAAAAGGCAGATAAAAGAGACTGAAGATGCTGAAATCGATTTGAACTTCATGTGATGTTATACATTGCAATGTGATGATAAAACATTAGCAAAGATTATTGTTCATAAGTTTCTCCTTAAACACGGAAAGTTTAAAATAAAATTCTCATGAACAAATTTATTTTATGCATAAACGAAACCGTCCCGGGTAGTAATGGTGAGGAAGAGATTGAAGCGAGAAAGGTAAAATAAAAGAGAGTAAAGAACGGAGAGAATGCAAGCAAACCTGTCCTTTGTGTTCCACGTGTTTGGTCTGGTAGAACCCTTTTCGAATAATCTGGAAACCATGCGCGTACGATGGAGTAACATAAAAGAGATACAAACATGCGTAGAGAGAAAAGGAACGAGACAAGAAACGAAACGATGGAGAAGATTTGGAATGAAAATGAAGTGACCTCGCCAGCTTTCTGAGCCGCGTCGACCGCAGATGCAAGGAAATCCGAGAGGGAATCTATAGTTCAATTTCAGTGAGCAGAGTTTGCAACAAAAAATAATAAAGTGAGAGAGAAAGATAGTTATTGTATTGGTTGGTACCAATACCATTGTCAATGTCAACCATTTTCTTCTTCAGTTGTTGTGTGCGAGGCTGAGGCTGAGGCTGAGACTGAGACTGAGAGAGAAGAAGGAAGGAGAAGGCAGTGAAATGAAATGATGTGGTAGAGGTTGTGCTTTCTTCTTCAGCTTGCTTTTGCACGTACCACGCTCACCATGATCACTACACACCCCACCAATGATCAAACCGCACATGTTATTGAAGAACAAACTTCATTCACTATTAAGTAACTAATAATTCTATAATTGAAATAACTAGAATATTTTTTTAAAATAAGTTAAAGACTAATTTATTGATATGTTTTATATTGTAAGGTTAGTTTAAAACATGATTTAATAAATTCTCCAAACGCATTCATATAATATTTCTGTATCTTTTTAAAAATTATTTATAATTATTTTTGGTAAATTAATTTAATTGTAGTTTAAGATTAAGTGTTTTTATCACGTTTTTTTTATATATAAAATCACTAGTATGATATCAAAACATGTTATGTATATGAAAAAAAAGTGTTTAGAGTTTCAATTTTAATCTTTAATCATGTATATTTAGTTGTTCACGAACAACTAATATATTAGTGTGAAATCCTCCTTAAAATAAACCGTTAGTTTTTCCATTTCAAGACTGGATGTATTATTTACCAAAGGTAATCTTGTTTCAACTATCGATAACGAAATTTGACTGCAATTTTCACATTTAAATTTTCAATTTCTCTTTAAAACCGAATTTATAAACTATGTAGTCTTCAATTTCTCTTTAAGATTTAAAATTTATAAACTATGTAGAAGTTTTAGATTTTCATTTACACAATCTTTTGGCCATCATTAAATGAGTTGAAAAGTTTAATTTTTTTTTAAGTAAGATGTCAAGGCACAGATAGATATACAACATAGACTTTCCACTAAAATGCAATTAAACTCTGTCCATAAGTGAAAAAAATTAAGCTTAAGGGCTTAGTCATATTTCTGACGTCATTAATTCAGGCATATTCAATATTCGAAGTGAATATTATACTTGTAGATAACTCAAAAGAATCTTAAAAGAAAACTGTATTTTTTATTTATGTTGTAAAAATATAAAAATAGCTTTCAAGCAAATCAAAATAATTGTGAAGATATTATAATGAAAACGGTCCTTTCAGAATCTAAATTTATTGCTAAACTAGCGATGCTGAAAGGCATATGGAATATGCTGGAGATTATCCCGGTGCGTTGTTTTGGTTTCGCGCCATAGAGTTTTCCGAGTTTTAGGTTCCACGGTCATGTCATGTCCACACAGGTTCCAAACATATACCTGGGGAAGGGGAAATGGGTAGCACCCTTTTCTCATGCTCTTCTATTGGTTTGTAAAAGCCTCCTTCTCAAGTCTCAACCACAAATAAAGAGGGCCTCTCTGAATATTGTTGCCAAAACAGAGAACGGCAGATCAATGTATACTTTATTGGATGTGGGCCTGAACAAGTTGACTGCTACCTCTTTTGTCTTCTCTAAGAAATGCAATTATTTATTCCATTTTTGGGAGCTTAGGTTGGAAATTGTGTTTTTTGAAATCGATTAGCATCAAGAAAACAAGTATGCAACTCAATAAAGCCTGTGGAGAGTGCACACTGCAGACCATTACCTCAATTATTTCACAAATACCATGAATCTATCCTGATCAAAATCCCATGGACACCCCCTCTGCTACATTGACGCTTTGTGCTTTTCTGCTTCAAGAGAAAGCACAAGATTTTATTCACCTACACACAACCTCATCAAGCTTAAACCAAAATAATTGCTTTTAAGACAAAGGTGTTACCTTATCAATAAAAACTTTTCTACAAATATCTACTGAGGAAGAAAATAAGATACAATTAACTTCTCCCATATACTAAAATCAACTAGTACAACTCAACTCTTCAACAAATTAAACGAGAACTATAAAGGTACAGAAAAAAACTTTGACTTATTCTTTTCTTTTCTTTTCAATAAAGCAGACTGGTTCAGCAACTACAAAGTAACAAAAAATTAAAAAAAAGGCCATAACCCGTAAGTAGATCATTGAAATAAATGTGATTGTGAGATTATTGCATGGTTGCACAATTAAATTACACGCCATCCAAGAAGACCTTTCATACTTTCTTAAACCGCATGTAGCTCGTTAAAGCAATTTATTTATCTACAAATTTTAAAGGGCGGTTATAAAATTACATAAAGAACGCATCAAAGTCTGAATGAAATGCTAGTCTCATTATAATAAAAACTAAGAGCTATTGCAATACACAATTAGCTAAAAGAAAAATGCCACATTGCAACGTGCTACTTGACACAAACAGTTAAGGTGCATTGTTCCCTTGGTTAAAGAGCTTCGATTTCCTTCATCACTTGAGCTTTGTCAGCTTCAAATTGTTCATCCTCTGGACAATCACGACAAATATGTGATAATGAGAAACTGATAATTGATACCATAAAAGCAACTAAACTATCAAGAGGTGGCATCACCTTTATCAATTTTGAAGTCTTCCAATAGTCTCAGCATCTTACTTTTGTTTGCAACAAATATACTGACGATATCAGCTGGTTTATGTTGGTTAGCAGCAAATAGCTGATATGACAAGCAAATATCAATTAACGCAAGATGAAGAAAAGTCACATCCAAATGTGTGCTATAATATTATTGAAGTAATACCTTGAAAACATGAAATGCTTCAATCTGTATGCTCTTGCTTGACTCCTGTAGAAAGAAATAAGTACCGGCCCATTAAATTCCACTTTAAACACATACCAAAGTTCTTAATTTTCTCTCCAATATAGAATATTATCATCAGAAACTTAATTTGAAAAGGGCTACACATTTTGATGGAACTGGTGCACTTTCACTTCTTAAAAACAGCAAAATATATCAAGGATGGATAAGGATTGGCAGACACAGACAGGAAGCACACAAGCAAAGTATGAAGGTAAGTAATTAGACATGTCGTTTAAGTTTTGTGTAAAGAGCTCATACTCTTAGAAGATTCATTAAAATCCTCAAGTTGTCTCTTGAGCTCACATATCGTGTCATTACTGCTGAATTTGAACGATCAAGTAATATATCTCCCAACAACTGTGTAAGAGAAAGAAATCAACTCATCAATCATATTAAAAAAAACAGAAGACTGTAAACACCAAAAATCCAACATTAAAAACAGGACACGAAGGAAATCTACAAGCAATGTATCTGTTGAATAGCTGTGATATTTTTGTTTTTAATTTTCAGGAAAATCCATAGGTCAAACGAACTACAAACACAAACAGACAGTTGAAGATTTATCAAACCCAAATTTAAGTTTTCAACAGGCAAAAATTATAGTTCAGATCAAAGTTAAATTTTTATGGTTAAACCAAAGAAATAATATAGAACCTTGACAGCTTGGCGCCTTGTAATATAATTGGAAGATTCCAATAGCTTAGTGTTATATTCTGCAAAAAACTGAAAGCAGCAGAACAAAGTAAGTATTAGCTCATAAGTAATGGACATGTAACCACTTAAATACTACTAACAAATAAAGCATATTAATAAACTGACAACCAGATGATTATATGTATGCAGCAGTAAAAAGAAATCTTCAAAAAGTAATATTTTAAAAAAAATCCCAAAATATAGTGAATGAACATGCTTGTATGGTTAATAATCATATAAAAAATAAAACACATGGTTAATAACTACAAAAACAAATATGGCTGTTTGATAGAAAACATGTTCGTCCACAATGCGTGCAGAATGATTTTCTACAAGTGCATATTTTTTATCAGTTCAGAAATTAATGTTTAGAAGCAGACAAACAAAAAATATAAATCTACTAAGGCCATGCCATATGAATGAAAAGGATAAAATCTAGAACAGTAATCAGAACTAGAGTTTCTAAAATTAGATCAGAATTTGTACCAAAGGCATTAACCTGTCAAAATTCTATAAAACTAAAACCAGTCAAAGTCATTCCATAGCACCAAATTAGAAACTGTCATAAAAGAACCTTTATCAATCAAATATATGACTCATGTTTCTTACTCAGATATCTAATCATGATCAAAGGGTAGAACTCATGCTTTGAGTTTGCTGACTTGAGAATTTTAGGAAAGGATAAAGGCGACATACAAGTATATAAACTAAAATGCTAGTTTATTCATAGACTGAACATTGAAGGGAAAACCTACCCATTCATAATTCTTGGAAAGGAATTCAGCTACAGTGGATTTATGTCTTGTCAAGAGCTCCTGAAACAACACAGCTCTATCAACTCTGTTGAAAAAATGTGCATGCCAAAACATAAGAAATTTTTATCACACGAAACGCACCTTAAAGGTAGCTGCAGCATCTGCAGCAACGTCAAAATTTGGGAGTTGAATATAGTCAAAAAAGTTCTTCATCTGAGGTGAGTTGAGAACATATCTGATATAAAACCATGAAGAATTAAGCAACAAAACCGTTATGATGAGAGGAAAAATTATAAGGCCTAAGTCATTTTCCCTTTTCTAATTCCAGTGTTCAGTTTTTTATATAAATTTCACGCAAAGCACCATTCTCATTTGGCATGAATATAGACGGCCACTAATATGAAAAGTATAGGAACCATAAAAGCCAGTACACAACTAGGAAATGCAGTACTATTCTAACATAGTTTACAACCCTAACAGTAGTTTCTAATTGGTACCACACACAACAAAATAAATATATCACGATATTTTTCCTTACTTTGCAACGATCTGATGTCTTATGCACTCCCTTAGCATTGCACCATAGTGCAAAGCCATGTCTGTGTTTTCATAGCTGAAAGGCAGCAATTGTTAGTCAGTTGCATACTAGAATTAGAATCAGTCAAGGGTAAGCATAATTTATTGACAACCACAGTGAGAAACATTAGAAATGACAGGCACCACAATATGAGAAGTGAAGAAGATATACAAGTCACAAACCTAAATTTAAAAATCACAAAAATCCAGTGATTAGGGACGTGAGATTGTCACGTCTAAATCATGAGATATTAAATTTTTAAGGTTGGCCAAAAAAAATGGTTTGCATTCATTTGATGAAGCGGAAGAGTGCACCACACTAATGATTGCAAAGCTTGATAGAACAAGGATCAAGAAACCAAGAATGTCATCCAATGATTTCTTACCCAACAATCAAGACGTCCATAAGATCCAGATTTTTCTCCAGGTAATCAGATGCAATCAACTTAGACTGAACCTGTTGTCTTTGTAAATTTGCAACAACTTGCGTGGCATCTTTTCTGGCCTGCAAAAGCCCACAGTCTCCAGGTTAGCAAGTAGTAAACAATCACAGTACAACATCTAGATAGACATGTGAATCCACCCATCACCCAGATTCTTAATAAGCATACCCATCCTACAAAGCATCAACCAAGTAAAGCAACAGCATAATCAGGAGGTCTCATAAATTTCATTACTACCTCCAAATTCAATTTTGGAAGACATTTGATAAACAGTCGCAACGTGTCCCCCTTAAAGAACTCCTGAGTCAACTGTGCACAAGCTTCAGCAACTGGTTCAGATTCACTATTTCCATACAGGATCTGCTTAAGCTCCCTGATGTTTTTAAATAGCTCGGACATTTGCTGTTATATGAACCACACAAAAATCGAAAATATCAAAGAACTGACAACTTCACCGCACGAGCAGCCAAGATCCAATAAAAAATAATCAAACAAAATAATTTCATCAGTTCCAATTTGCGCACAAAAATTTCGCTGCTGCCGTATAAAATGCATGATGATGCCATGTCAAGCTCAATTACATTTACCAATAAGTTCCACCTCCCCAAACCACAGATAAACCAAATTTGCAAAACTAAAATTTGAACATCAACCACCAACAACACAACAATTAAAAAGCAATTTACCTCCAACGACAGTGATCAATCGTAAATACTCGAAACTAATACTGTAATGGAAAACAACAGCAAATATAAATTAAAGAATGTCGTAAACTATATGCAGGGTTTATCGTGATTCACAAATCAAGGCTCTAAGGTTCCACTCAATAGTGATGTATTTAGCATTGACAAATCAACGCGGAACTTCATCTTTATTTATTTTCTTATGACAGTACGCACAATTACACATAGCTAGTTGAGATCAACTGTGACGAAAATAAGAAATAAATAAATAAATAAAACTAAAAAAATGCGATCTAAGAATAAAAGAAGAAGCGAACCTTCTCTTCTCGTTTGCTTTCGCGGGCTTCGGGGTTTCGATCAATAAGTAGTAGAAGATCTCTGGTTTGGCGCACTACATCTGCAGGAGTGCGTGGTTTAGGCTTGAAGAGGCCCTTCATCTTCTCAAAGTGATGTGTTTAATCTTCTCGTTGCTCTGAAATCACAGAGTCTGCTTAGGGTTTGTGATTCGCGGGAGTGGAAGGGAGGGGACGGAAACAAGATGAATCTGGATATTTTAATTATTTCCAAATATAATGGTTATTTATTTATTTATTTACGTTTGAGATTTTGTTGGAAAATTATGGAGTTACTGAACATGCATAGAAGGAAAGGATGAGGTAGAGGATTGGGGTTGGACCAAACACCAATACCAGAAAAAACAACCTGCTTTCGGATTTCATCTCACTTTTATTTAACTGCTTCAGTCTCATCCAAACTTAATTTACTATTATAAAACTCTACTGCTGTCACGCCAACCAAATCACCAAAACTACACTTCAATAATAGCTATTAAACTTATAATATTTTTTAATATCTAATTTATGTTGTAATCAAATCATATTATTTAGTAATAGAACAATTAATACCATCTTATATTTAGAACCAAAGACATTAAGTTGGGGATGGATCTATTTTGAGGAATGGGTAAACGTCTAGTAGATACACTTCACACTAAAAAAATAAAAAATGAGTAAGTTTGTAAACAAAAACAATATTTTGTATATTATAAACCATCATATTCCCAATTTTGTCGAAGAAAAATTATTTTATAACCGTTTATTTACTTTGAAAAAAGTTGCTAAACTTACCTTATAAAAATATTTATCAAACATAATTTGTAATATAAATAGAAAAATAATGAGTGGATTTCTACCTATCAATTTGTTTTAATTATGATATTAGTACATGATATATATCATTAAAAATAATAATTTTTAATAGAATTTTTATTTTCATATTAACTATTACCTCAATTATTGTATATAAATTAATATCAATTAATGTGAACTTCATTAAAAAAATTATATATATATATATATATATATATATATATATATATATATAATCATGTTATGTTACTTTATATAACTGAAGTCGTCTTATAAATACGACTTTCTTTTAAAAAATATATTTTAACACGGAAGAAAAATACAATAAAATCTTTTAAGGATGACTTTTTCTATAATTATGAGAGATTTGTTTATGGAATTAATAAAATATAAATAAATGTAAATAGTTTAGTAGTATCTTGTAAAATTTAAAAATATTAATAAAAGTTATTGAGTAGTGTATAGCTATTGTTAAGAAGAAGCCAATAGAAAATATATCTTCATTATTTTTTTATTAGATCTTTAAAGAAAGAGATGTCTTCATTATTAATAATAAAAACTATCTCTAGAATAAAATAAATGAATGATATTTTTTGCAATTGAAGATAAAATAACGAAAAAAATTTTGATCATGACACATTGATAGACCCATTAATTTAACATAATAACATTGCTATACTGAAATTTGAAATTGAAAATGTAAATTTAAATAAGAAAAATGACTAATTTTAAGGAAAAGTAAATTACAAGAGTAAACAAGTATAGAATAGAAAATACAAATATTTTATGTAATTTCATTATACTTTATTTTCCTTATTTAGTTTTATTAAAGTAAAATAGCATGAGTATGAGAGCATGGGTATGTAAGAGTTGTCTGTTCTATAATGATAAGATAAGTTGAAAGGGAGATGAGATATGCATGATTCAAGGCCAACATGTCACTAAAGCTTCTTTCCAACTTCCACTTCACATGATCTGGGGTATTTTTTTATCCAATTAATGCCCAACCCTACACACTCTTTCATAAAAGAGCATTAATTGAATACAATATTCGGGTTATAATGGATAAAGATAATCTCTTTTCCTTACAAATTTAATTACAACTTTGATACAAACCCTTCTTAATAAAAAAATTAATCTAATTAATTCGTTAATTTTTGTATGGACAAGTATTTAACTCATCCATAAAAATAATATATTAAAAATTAAGTTACATTTACAAAAAATGAAAATAAATTTTGTAAAATGATTTAGGAGATATGTTTTTGAAAACTTAGGAACTGATTGAAGAGTAAAATTGTTAAATAAAGTGTGTATATAAAAAGTGAGTACTATTATTATTATTATTATTATTATTATTATTATTATTTATTTATTTATTTATTTTAAAAATGAGGTTATAATTTTGCAATTTAAAATAAAATTTAAATTTAAAAGGATTTTAGCTACTGCTTATTGTTATCTTGTCGGTCCACTAATTTGGGTGACTATTTTATCGTACAATCCGCCATAATTTAATGTATAAAAAAAAATGTTGGCAAAGGTTCAAATAGAAATGGACCCACACGTTCAAGAAGGCGAAAAAAATACCATACCCTAATAATTCATTTCATCTCACGACAACTCTCACGATCAAAATTTTCAATTAAATCCCGCAACATTGTGCCAGTAATATTATGACCATTCAGCAAATATACAAGTTGTTCAATAATCACAAATATAGTCTTGTAATTTAAAAGTCCATCACCTCCTCTTTTTATTCTATATAAATATATACATTAGTCAAGTTTTTGAAGCTCCCATAGAAGTTTAAACCCTAAACCTTGTAATCAGAAATCACGGATAAATGAAGGCAGAGTGAGAATCGAAAAATCCAACGTACTATAGTAAATACATTAATATGACAAACCTTGCACGTCCCAGTTTTATTCAAAAAATCAAAACAACACATTAGGCATCAATACAGTTTATAATGGGGAAAGGGGCAGAACTGAACTCAATTGAAGTGAACTGATGAGAATTATCTAGGAATGAAGGGCTTTAAAGGAAGTGAGATTCCTGAAATTGAGCCAAGTTTTCTCCCACACAACGGCCTCGTAATTGTTGATGGCGGATCCGTCCTTGGTCTTGAGCACGAGGCGGTAGTTGGTGCCAGCCACCACCTGAGTCTCGCCCTTCACCACGCTAACTAGCTTCAGCTTTGCACCGGAACGCTTGTCGTACTCACTCACCGCATACTCCGCGATCTCCACCACGTGCCGTTCTTTCAAGTCCTTGACGGGTCTCCACCCTCCCAACACCGCATCGGAGCACGCAGCGTAGGAGACCAACATAAGAGAGAGGAGAACTAGGCAGTGATATCTCATCGTGTAACCGATAACGCTGAATGAAAATTTTAATTACTGATTTGGGTCTCTGTTAAGAGTCGCGGTTGGTATTTATAGCAGAGGAAGAACACGGTTTATGGGTCCTCAATTTTCTAGCGCATGATTTTGCCCACGGAGTTCATGGATATTGCGAGCGACGGAAATACGCGTTCACGTTCTGTCCCCACTTGTAAAATCGTTAATTACGCTAAGAATTGAGATTTTTTAAATTAAAAACAATAAGTAACGTTTTTCAAAATAAATCCTTTAATTAACGATTAAGAATGAGAAATTCTTATGCAATACGCGACAGAAAAAATAATTAGTATTGTAGAGCATTTTTTATCTACTCTTGCAACAAATGTAATAAAAATAACATAAAAAAAGTATTTTAGATTAGTAAATTTATAAATATTTATAAAAAGCTTAAATACGATGATAAGGACGGTTGATTGGGAGACTTAATGTAAAATCGGTCATATATTTACACTATTAAATATATTTAATAACGTCAAATCAGGTGTTAAATTTTATTGAGATGTTTAAATAAGAAACTAATTATTTCAAATAATTTCTCATTATGTAAATCATGCTATGATAATTTTTTATAATTATTTTATTAAACAATTTAAAAACAAAATAAATGAAAAAAAAAGAGTAAGTTCTCGAAATTTCTTATATAAAATGAATAACGAATTATTTAAGAATGATATAATAAAAAAATATTTTTTTAAGATAAGAAATAAAATTAGTTACATCGAGATGCTTCATACTTTTAAACTCGCATATTTCTCAATACATCATATTAATATTAGATGCTGGAATGATTTGGTGACTCAAATTTATTTAAATATATGAATGAAAAGGGTCTGATTTTTAAATATGGAAACAGTATTTCTTTCAAGAGTTTAATAATTTTTATAACCACGACTGATATTTTAAATGTAATATTTTAAAATGTCACTAATTTTATTTTATTTTTTTCAAAGTTTTAAGACGAAAAGAATGATGCTTAATTTAAAACCCAAACTGCTATAGAAATGTTCTTTGAATTTAAAGTATTTAATGGGAGGAGCGTGGTTTTAATCTAAAATATTATTTCATTCATTTATTTAATTTTAAAAGATGTTTAAATTGATTGTATAATATATGAGTTTAATTAGAATATATTAATAATAAAAAAATTATATTATTATTTACTCATAAATCATTACATGTGATAAGATGATTGTGTTTCAAGATCATGACTTTAAAACTATATTCTAATCATTTTTAATTAATTTAAAGCATATCAATTTATTTTTTATTTATTTTATCATGTAACATATAATTATTAAATATTATTAATCGTTTGACAACAATAATAATAATGCATGGATCTTTTTAGTAGAAACTTTTTTTAGTGATCTTTCCATAAAAAGGTTGGGCATCGTAATTCGTAAGATAATGTTAAGCGAAGTTGTATATTATTATTATTATTATACATTTTTCTTTAGTTTATTCACTTATTAATTAATAAAAAACACCGAGTAAATAAATAAAAAAATTTGATGTTTAATTGTTTTTAACACTTTCTAATAATAACAATAAAAATGCATCATAAGACAATTTCTTCAATCATGCTATTTTAAACCGCTATTCAAAATATTTATTTGTTTCTGGAGGTAGACAGTAAGTTTCGTCCAAATGACTGTAGAATTGGTTTTAGAAAAATAATGAAAAATTGTGACATTATTGTATTTAACATATTTTAAAAAGTTAAATAAAATATTTTTACTTTTATATACGTACATATCCATATTTTTTCTTTTTTTAGATAAGAAAGGGTAAATAATATCGTTATATAAATGAAAGTAATTTAAAAGCCAATTATTTATCTTTTAGATTATTTTATTTGATCAAATCCTTTTCTCATTTATCTTTTTAAATTCTCAACTAAAACGAATGTGATAGACAGCTCATGATGGACATGCATGGCCGAAACTATGTAAACGAACAGAAAGAAAATATGTAAACTAATGAAAGAAATCACAGATGAGGATAATGTTTTTTTTTTTTAATAATAATAATAGTTATTATTATTTTATGATAAATTTAATTTAATTTTATAAAATTGGCAAGAATGATATTATTTATATATTATAATATTATTATATATTTAATTAATGTAAAATTTCATCTGATTTCATCAATAATAATAATAATAATATAAAATGGATGGATTTGGAAAGCAATTATGTGGTGCAACCTACAAATGAAGACATCCAATCCAACCCCACTTTCCTCCCCCAACACATACATATTTGGATTACTTCCTCACAATAATGACTCTCAAATCCACCAATACACGCCATAATGAGTAGATATAATTTATAAAGAAGAAATATAAAAATACTTCTACTTGACTTTAACTTTCAAAATAATTAATTACTGTTTTTCTTAGAAGCATCTATAAAAAATGTATATATAAAAAAAATCTTAGATCATAAAATCAATTATACACAATTGGTTGATTCCTGCAAAATTTAATCCTCTCTTAATTTTTATATGATAAAAAAGTACTTCTGTTACTTTACGAAAAATGTGCAATTATCATAAATATTCCATCTTTTATCTTCTCTAAAATTAACTTCATAGTTGATATGTAATTCACAATAATTATGGAAACAAAAGTTTCAAATATTAGTATATTTATTAATTATTAATAATTTATATGCACCTGCACGTAAAGTAAAAGCAATTGCATAACATATTTCCCTTATTACTAAGTTTTTTCTAAATACTTGTGAAAAGAAAAAAATAGAAACAGAGATAAAAATTTGTATTATTCCATTCTCTTGATGTTTTAATATCTGTCCATTATATAGATGAACATTAGTAATACAACTGTAAATATAACAGAATGACACATGCTAAAAAAACAGAATCACCAAAAAACTAAACAGAATAATAACAGTTAAATATTATCCACGCTGACAGCCCCCGCAAACTGGAATGGAGGTTGATCATTCCAAGCTTGGAAACAAGATATCGAAACGGTCCTGGAGCAAAAGGTTTTGTGAAGAGATCTACAGTTTGATCCTTGGAAGGAATATGTATTAGGTGAATAAGTTTTGACAGAACTTTCTCTCGTACTAAGTGACAATATAGTTCGATGTGTTTGGTTCTTTCATGGAAGATTGAATTTGTTGCTATGTGAAAAGCTGACTTACTATCACAATAAAGAACCATCGAACGTGTGAGAGAAATGCCAAAAATCCTGTAGAATATAGACTAGTCATTGGGCTTCACAACTTGCTTGAGTTAGAGCTCTATATTTGGCCTCAGACGAAGATCTCCATACAGTAGTTTACTTTTTGGATTTCCAAGAAACCAAAGCAGATCCAAAGAAGAAACAAAAAGACAGTAACAGACCGTCTTGTGTCAGGGCAAGCCCCCCAGTCCGAGTCAGAGAAACCAGTAAGGTGAAGAGAGGACTGAGTGGGAAAGAAAAGACCTTGTGCAGAATTGCCTTTGATGTACCCAAGAACACGAAGAGCAGCTTGTAGATGAATGGAAGATGGCTGGCTGAGAAATTGACTGAGTTTGCTAATAGCAAAGCTAATGTCAGGCCTAAAATTTGTTAAGTAGAACAATCTGCTAATAGGGATGACAATTAAACTCGTAATCGTGGGGATCGACTCGTTCCCGCCCCTGAGTTTTACGGGGAAAACCCAAGTTGACCGGGAGTGGGGGCAGGTTCGGGTTTTCCCCGCTTTAAAAAGTCGGGGGCGGAGATGGGTAATGCAATCCCCACCCCGACCCCAACCTCGTCCCCGCCTGTACTTTATATTTAAATTTAAAATATTAATACTTTAACTGTATTTTTTTTCTATTACATATAAGATTATTTTTTTAATATTTCATCAATTTTCATTTTTCTTCTACCCACTTTTAATTTTTTTGTCTTTTTTAATATTTTATATCAATTAATTTATTACGTTATTCTCTCTTACCTTCTCGTTTTTTACATTTCCTTAATTTCTCCCATCAATTTATTTATTTTTTTAATCTTTTCAATCAATTTAATGAACACAAAGTAAAATTTTTTTCTTTATCTTTTTCTAAATATTTTACATAAATCCTAGTAGTAACTAATATTATTTTATTTATAATTTATATTTATTAGGTTTTATTATGTCATATTTTTTTGATCTTATTATTCTTATTTATCATATATCAAATTTTATCTTAATAAAATAATTGTATTTTAAAGGATTAAAAGAAATTAATAATTTAAACTTTTATTACTTCGAACTAATTAAATAAGAATTAACTTATTAAATATTTTCTTATAAACTATATATTTCATATTTTTAAATGACAACTTAAAAATAAATTAACTTATATATATAATTAAATGTTTGTATACAATATTATAATAATAATGTTATAAGTGTTCAAATATTTGGATAGTATAATAATAATAATAATAATAATAATAATAATAATAATAATAATAATAATAATGTTATAAATATTCTCTCTCTATATATAAATAAAAAATAATTAAATATTTTTTACATACATATTTTAATATAAATATAATAAATTAAAATGTATATTTAATTATTAATTATTATAAATTATAAAATTATAAATATTTATTTATATATAAAAAATATATAATAAAATTAATTTATTATAAATGTAATTATCTTTTTAAAAATAATATAGATTGAGGACAAGGAGGGGCGGGGAAGGGGGTGGGGACTTAATTTTTAACCCCGATGGGGATCGGGGCGGGACGAGGATGAGAATGATTAAAAAAGTCGGGGGCGGGGATCGGGGAGGCAAAACCCGCCTTGCCCCGTTGCCATGCCTATCTGCCACGAAGTCTTCTATATATATATAAGCATCGGGAATAGAAGATTCAACAGCCATAGAAAGCGTAAGAGAGTAATCCATTGGTGTTGAAAGAGATTTAGAGGCCAATAAACCAATATCTTGTAAAAGGTCCA